GTAATATTTCGAATAAATTCTTCGACTAAAATTTAATTCGTGTAATATTTCGAATAAATTCTTCGACCAAAATTTAATTCGACAAATATTTCGAATAAATTCGCCGAATAAAAATTTCGAATAGATTTTTCTCGACCCCTGGCCGTAATATATCGAACCCCCGGCTTTTCCCGACAAACCCACCCGTTACATTCGCACCGCGTTAAGGGCTAGATGAAGTGGGGGGGCCCCACGCCGACATACACACGGCCGTAACGGCCGCGTAGGTGTACGCAGCAATCACAGAGTAGTATACGAAGTTTCTCACTAATATCTTGGAAACGAAAAGATCCCCTAGAAAATATTTCATGTCACGATCCATCCTCTCCCCCTCCTCCTTCGCCCCCTTGTGTTCTCCCGCATCGTTTCTCCTTCCGGATAATACATCTTTCCTCCTTCTTCGTCGACAAACAACAAAGCAGCAGCACACACAAGCACACAATCGATAACCCCGAAAAGGACGGGGGTGTCGGAGACCCTCCGGGAAAAAAACTGGTTTTTCTTCTTCCCCTCTGAATCGCAAAAGTTCTGATAGGACTTTTCCCTTTGTGTCCCCCCTCCCCCGTCTCCCGGTCAGGTCACCCATCCTAGCGGAGCAGCGTCGTTTCACTCGGACGATCGGACCGGGACGTGTCCACCGCCTGCCGCTCGGTACACCGGGCGAATAGAATAGTCGAAACTTGATGTAATGCTACAACCCGAGCGGTCCGCGACAGCGACCTTGATCTCGAATTCGCGCACACCCCCTCTATCTCTCTCAAGGAACGACAAGCGCGAGGAAGAGCGAGAGAGAGAAATATATACAGAGAAATGTATAGAGAGAAATATATAGAGAGAAATAAAGAGAGAAATATAGAGAGAGAAATAAGGAGAGAAATATAGAGGGGAAAAGAGAGAAATATATAGAGAGAAATAAAGAGAGAAATAAGGAGAGAAAATAGAGAGAAAAAGAGAGAAATATATAGAGGGGAAAAGAGAGAAATATATAGAGTGGGAAAGGAGAGAAATATATAGAGGGAAAAAGAGAGAAATATATAGAGGAAAAAAGAGAGGAATATATAGAGAGAAATAGGAAGGAAGAAAGATAAATAGGAAGAAAGAGGAAGAGAGGAATATAGAGAGGGAAAGAGAGAGAAAGAGAGGGAGTAGTTTTCCTTCGGCTAGGTAGAAAAAAGGTACCCCATCCGCTCTTGTACACTCACACATCGGGACAGACGCATTCGGGCCGCAGTCTCCGCTGCTCCTCGAAGATATCCCGTCGGTCGTTTTCTTCGCACCTCTCCTTTTGTTATTTCTCTATCTTTCTCTCTCACTCGCTCTCGCTCACACAGACCATCCTCTCTGCTGGCTGACTAACAGGTAGACGAGACGCCAGTCGAAGGGAACACAACCCGACATACAGGGGGCAGAGAGAAAACAGAGAGATGCTCTGGGATGACAGCGTCGCGTTATCGGCATCGACGACGACGAGGACGACGACGACGAGGACGTTGACGAGGACGACGACGAACCCCCTGTACGGGGACAGCGCGCGCGTAAGGAGGTCGATCCGCGGAACACGACACCACAGCACACACCACACGGCGCACACACACACACCGCCGCACGACGGCGACGAGGACGACGATGACGACGACGACGACGACAACAGAGTTTCGCGTTCGCAGTAGGAGGATTATGTGTGTGTGTGTGTGTGTGTGTGTTTGTGTATGTGTCTGTATGAGAATGGAAGAGAGCCACTCGCCTGAACCGTGTTGCGTTTGAGGAGCCGTGGTAGCAACTGCCCGCAGTAATAGTCGTCAGCTGACTGGCTGGCTGGGCAGTCAAGCCGTTGCCGTGGGGCGGAGAGCGGGCGGGTTGGGGCGCGTTGGTGGGGAGGGCTTTTAAAGCGATACCAGGGCCGTACCAACGGCCGGCGGCGCGCCCCTCATCGATCACACCTGGGCCTATCTCGCGGATCCATCGCGTGTGTCCCCGGGCAAACCGATCGCCGATAAAAACAATCGTTGCCCGAGGATTGTTTTCGGCCGCGACGCGTCGCCCGTCCCGCTCGCGTTTCACTTTCCGCCCGCCCGCGTTCGCCGCGTTGCCGCGACGCGCGGGTCGTTTGACGGTCGGCTATTTTCGGAGATGAGGGAACGATTTTACGTGAAAACGATTCCGCGGCGGGGGTCGCCGGAGAGTACGAGGGGGGAGGAGGGAGCGAGGAACCGACGAAATCGCTGGAAACGCGGCCGGCGGAAAATCGATGCGCGACTGACTTCGAGCCGTCTCGCCGGCCGCCGCTCTAAAATATGTAGTCGATAATCCGGCGGTGTTGTTTGCGCTGTTAAATGATGTGGACACAGTTGCCGGTCGCCGGCTGCCACAGGGATCGTCCGCCGGTGTCTCCGTCGACCGGCGAGGAGGCAGGAGGAGGAGGAGGAGGGGGGCCGCGAGCTGTCAGGACTCGCGGCGCGGGGCGACAACTTTTCTCGATTTGTATTTTTACCGTCCGGCTTGACCTTCGGCAGCCTGCCGCGCGAGGATCGGAATAGTTCCGCCAACGTCATCCGGCGTAACTCCAACGTTTCGCAAGTTGCCGGAGCGGTCGTATTTTTATCGGGCCGGTTAGGCGCGTGGCCCCGCGGCCGGTTGGTGCGCCGTTGATCGGCGAGCGCGGCGGGGGAACGCTCAGCTGCACTCAGCTGGCCGGACAGCTGCTGGCCCGCTGTTAAACGCCGGGACACACTTGGAAAACTTCCTTTCCACCAGCGGCGACCATTAAATTTCCGTTACTCCGTGGAAAAGCTGCGGCGCGCGATCCGCCGACGAAACCGAACGATGGGCCCCCCCTGCTTTTTCTGATCGAAGCATGCCGGGGCTAATTATCACCGCCATTACGCTGCCTCCGCAGCCTCGTTTAGCCAGCAGCGACACCCAGCAGTCGCCAACATGGCATCGTATCTAGCAGCGCCTCTCGAAATAAGAAACGGGGATAGAGTCACTGAACCTGGGGGTTGGTTAGGTCCGAAGGATCTCGGACGACGGTCCTGGATAGAGGGTACACGGTCACCCGACTCGTCTAGATTCCGGTCTGGTCCGTTGATAACGTCGCCTAGGTGGTTCCGTGCAGTAACTACATTGTAGTTCGATCGACGGTGTTGATGTTGTTGTTTATGAATGGGAGGGGTTCCGCGGGTAGAACGGTTAGCAGTCGATAAAATTGGGCCACCGTCGTTCTACCGTGGCATAGTGACAGCCGGGTCGGAAGGACGCCTGCGCGAGTCAGCCCTGTCAATACTGTTTGGGGGATCCCTCCGCGTGCCTCCGTCGGATTGATACGAGTCAATGCACGACGGTAGCCAAGCGTGCACGGGAACTTTTTGTTTCCAGCGCGACCCAGTATCGTCGTACTCCACTTTCCAAATTGATTTCCTGCGCCCGGCCCCGACTGTTCGGGAAAATAAGTCAACGGACCAGCCGGAACCATCGCCGTCTCGCCGTCCCGCTCTCCGACGGCCTCCCGACGGTTCTCCCTGGAAATCGTTAACGAGCCGCGCGGAATTACGAAACGATCGCCGAGATGGACGGGAAACGCCGGGGATAATGGGCTTTTAATGGGCCGACACCGCCATGTTTGCGGAGACGATTGTCGCGGCGACGGGCACACGCGGGCCCGCGCATGCGAACACCGAAATACCGGATCGTAAAACCGCGCGCGGCCGAATTTCCGCTCGCATAAATTACTCGACATACTCGGGTTTCCTCGTTGCGCGCGCGTGCCGCTCCCGTTCGAGCTAATAATTACGTTCGCTCGCGTGCACCGCCGCGTGTCGCGTCGCGGAAGCACATACTGCGCCGGTATTTGTCATTAATAAATACGAGGACGAATTTCGCCCGCTGGCAGGCTCGGCCGCGTCACGAGGAACGCGGCCGCGTTTGGCACGTAACGACGGAAACGCGGGAATCGTTTCTGCCAAGTCGCGGTTTCTGCAATCGGGGCTCGCGTAACGACGACGCACGGCCGCGGCTCCGAGTTCCTCGAAACGCGGCGAAAACTCGTTTCCCGCGGCGAGGGAGGTAGGGGGGAGGGACATGCTTTCAGAGAGGTTTTCTGGCGACGGTGTATCGATCGTCGATTGTAGTACGTAATTTCGAAGCAACGACTGCGATATCCACGAGAAGAATTGTCTGAATTTTTTGTTTGCTCTCTGCGCGTGATTCTTCTTCGTTTCCCGAGGTTTTTCCGTCGTATCGACGTTCCTTAACGCTAGGTTCACGGAACCCGTGAAAACGACGGGTCACTGATTCTTGAATTTACGATTATTCAGACTGTAAAGAGATACGTTTCTGAATTATTTATCCGATAGACGAGTCGGTTAGAATCATTACGGCGTCACGTTTTCTTCGTTGTAAGAAATAAGTTGCGATTGTTCATTATTAATACGTGTATCGTTTACCGACCGAATTTATTGTCGAGATAATTTACGGTCGAGTTAATTTATAGCAGCTTTAGAATTTGTTTCACTCGTCTCTTTAACATTTTTTAGCACGCACAGATCGCGTTTTAACGTACATCTCGACAATTTTTTTGGAAATGCGACGCACGCCGCTATTTTTATAAACTGTGTAAAAAAAACAGCTGCTTTTTCAATGCTCCGTAAAACTAGCGTTAACGAGCGCTTATTTTTAAGAGCTGAAATAACCATCGATCAGTCGTTCTTCAATTCGTAATTCCAGGTCCATGGAATTGCCGCTTTTCAATTGGACGTTGCAACGTGAAAATAGCTGCGAGCTTTTGCGATCGTAAAAAAGAAATTTCCGCGAAACGTTCTGGTAATCTTCGAAGATCTCGTGGCTCATGGTGCGCGGCGTTAGGGCAAATTCGGCTGCCCCCCGCCGCGAGCCGAGCGAGACAGGTACCACGGAACCGGTTGCGCGCGTTTCCGCTTCGCTGTATAATTAATATTTTCCGTCGATAATACGCCGGAATCGTCCGCTATCGGTAATCGTCGTAACAACGAAGACGCCCGATTCAGAACGCGCGCGCGGGAGAAGTGAATGACTTGTGTGTATTAAAAATAACGCAGCGAGAGATATACTGTAGAAAAATGTTGTATAGTATTTTTATGGGCGGAACTTTATCAGCCGAGATCCTCCTCCGTTTACTTTTCACAATGCATTCATCTTCCTCATGAAGTCGCGGACCCTTTGCTCAACCACCGGGTTGCTCCACAGCCCTTCGGCCTTGAAATGCGAGCCCACGATGACCGCGTCCGAGGACAGGTACTCGTCCACGTTGTCTATTGTCACACCGGAGCCGATCAGCACGGGGCCTTTGGCAGCACGCTTGATCTCTGAATATAAAATAGTATGTACAGTAAACGCTCCCTAATTGACGCTTGGATGCAAAAGTGGACAATTTGAGATGATATGAAATGTGTATTAAAATAAATATTATATTAAAATAAATATTTTATATATCGCTCTCTATATATAACGATTATGTATTATGTGTATAATTGTTATTATATTATTATTATAGTAATTATTGTTATGTTATCTATATATAAATGAGCCGCGAGACTCGATAATCGTATCTCTTCTTCACGAATTGTCCATTTTTGTACACAACCGTGCGTCAATTAGGGAGAACTTACTACACAGTAAACTCTCCCTAACTGTCGTCGCTCGGCTTGGAAACAAAAGTGGACAATTTGGGAAAAGGATGTAAAATTACGTAAAAATTGTTTTTATATTATATTATTGCTATATTGTCTATGTAAAAATGAGCCGCGAGACACGAACAATCGTATCTCCTCTTCCAGAATTGCACACAAAAATGGACAATTTGAGAAGATATAAAATCATATAAAAATTGCTATTACATTAGCGTTATATAATAACGATTATACATTGTATGTATAATTGTTTTATTACACACATATTAGTATTATTATTATATTATCTATATAGAAATGAGCCACGAGACTCTATAACAATCGTATCTGCTCCTCTCAAATTGTCCATTTTCGTGCACGATCAGAGAGAATTTGCGTGCGTCAATTAGAGAGAATTTACGCGTTAAGCGGACGAAATAGCGGAAACGTACCCGCGAGCTCCGCGGTGCTGGCCGGTTCGCCAGTGGCAGTTCCTGTCAGTACAATTCCATCGGCCAAGAAAAACTCAGCCGCCTTCACCGTCTCCGATAAGCTCACGTCCGAGGTGACCGCATGTGAACTACTCGCGAAGATAGCAGAACGATGTTAATGCACTTAAACGTCGAATTAGTATTCCCGTTCTCGAGATACGGCCAGTCACCTATGCTTTTTTTTCACGTCGGCGAAGACGAGAACGTCGTCGGCGTCGATCTGGCTCCTGTATCGCAGCAACGAGCCGGCGCAGGCGTCCGTGAAGCCCTCGTCGGCGACGTGCGAGAAGACGTAACCCTCCGCCCTGACGAACTGGAAGTCGGCAGCCTTCGCAACCGCGATCGCTTCCTTGTTGCACCCTGCCAAAATCTGCGTGCATTAAATTGATTTCGAGCGACTCCTAAATCGCGAGAATGCTCGCGCCATCGTGGACGCGTCCGCAAAGCGTTTCACCTGTACACCGCACGGCAGATTATCGGGCAACGCTTTTCTTATCTCCGTGCAGATTCTGGTCATCATGGCCGTGGTCTCGGGCAGCACGTCGCCGGCCTTCACGTACGGAACGTCGTTCATGTTCTCCACCAGGACGCCGTCCTCGAAACGAAGGGAAAACGGTTAGGCGTACAGGTTAGGTTTCGCGGCCCCGCGCCAGGTTAGAATCCGCCGTGTTTCGCCCGTCGAACTTACAACTTTGCAGTCCCTGTAAATCGCGGCATCGCCGACCGCGTCCCTCAGGATCTTCTCCGTGTCCCATTTGTACAGCGGCGTCCCTGCAATTCATCGTATCGAAACGGGTGAGCCGGGCGGAACGGGTTTTCAGGTGGAAAAATTCGGCGGTCCGTCGACCACCGATCAACTTCCATTGGAATAACATGGACGGTCTGTTTCTCGGATAACGGCGGCCCGATTAAAAACGTGCAAAATAAGCTGTTTTCGATGCGAACGCTATTTACAACTGATAGTTCCTCCTGCATCAGGAACAAACGATAAGCCGCGCGGCGGCATTTCACGATGTCGGACGCGCCGGTTAACGAGCCTCCTCGCAATCTGACGGAATAAATTGTACGTATCCGTGAATTCGTGCGGTCTTAATCTCTATAGCCGAGCTACGAAGCAACGAAATTACAGTACCGGGTAGAGCACCGACGTGCACCATTCCGATCACGGAACACCGTCTGCCAGCGAAACATCTGCGAAAACGTAACATCGCCGCGATCAAAATCGCACGTCCGCTGTTTTATTTCACGGTCACGTTTAATCACTTGCCAGGCACACGTCGTTCCGAGATAAATGCCGCAACTGTGGCCGGAAATCTCAGCTGTGACCATGTCCGTTTCGCGGAATTTCGACTCGGCAATCAGCTGATTCGGCTCGCGGACGATTGTTTTATTTCTGTCCGATAAAGGCGGCTGAAAAACAACCATCGTCGAACGATTGTCGTACGTCGGCTGATTCGTCGTTCACGAATGAAACAAATCTGCACGGAAATATGCCCGGTTATGTCGTTCGAACAACATTTAAACGCGTTTACCAGCAGAAATAGATTAGGTTAGGTTCGTCGCAGGTCCAGCAGACGAATTCAAATCGCGTAACTCGGTTTGTGTAACTTCCTCTGGACTCCGATAAGCGTTGAGCTTCATAGTAATCGAGGTCCGAGTTTAATTACAGAAGCGGATTACGGCAATCGCGAATGTTTAACGAATGAACATGGTCGTGGTAAGTCGTGCGCGACGCAAACAACAATTTCCGACGATGGTATTTTCAGAACTGAGCGTACCATCAGCTGGTAAAGCCACCAACAAAATGGCGCTGACCAAGAAGCCACTATGCCCTCCATCTGTGGCATACTAAACGATCTGAAATCCAAGTGATTCTGACTATGGATCTGAATTTTAAAATGCCACCGGTAGAACGGCGTAGAATAAATTGAATTAATTGGTATTACAGCGATAATATCGGTGAGAACATTAATGACTCATGAATCGTAATGATTTCATGTCTGAACTTACAGCTAGAGGCGACACTTGCCGGGCAAGCAGAATGGCGCTAATATTTGAAAGCCGATACGGACCACAAATTTTCTCCTCCCATTTTGTCGATTAACGAATGTTTATAGTCGTGGAGATTATATTCGGATTAACTAATCGAGCTAGTATTTTACGATAACTAATAAGTGTGTTTAATAAAATAATAAAATTCTTGTACCATTGTTACTGGATTTAAACTTAATTTCTAAATTGTCTTTTGTTTATTCAAATGATTCAACTTATATAGTCAGCGTAAATGTGTTCAATTTTAGACGTGTAACACTCCCTGTAGTATTTTAATTGTTTTTACACACACACACACACACAATCAAATATTGGTATTAAAATATTAACATTCGTGTCGTTTTCTTGCCAAAATGAAACTTTGGCTCTTGAATGGTTCTTAAATAATTGTTAATTTATTATTCAACGCAGATTCAAATTTTCAATTCCAGTAGGTCATTTTAATTTTGGTCCTTCAATAATTTCTATAACACCCCGATCATTTTCCCAATTAACTATCGCCGCTAAAATATTCAAGTTCTCGTAGTTTCGTTTCATCGAATTAAAAACATCGGCTGGCATTTAAACAACGCTATATTTATCGTCGAAACAATTCCAATCTTTGTTTGCAGTCAATTCAATTTCGGCCCGCGTGACGTTTCCCGCAGCACTTCAATTCCAAAAATTCCGACCCGTCCCCTCCGTTCGTCAGCAATTAAGTTCCGGTGCCCGTAAACCGTTTCTGAAGTTTCTCCAGCCCGCCGGCATTGTCCCAACATTTCATTTCAATTTCGTCCCAGCTGGTCCACTCGAAAAGGATTGTGTACCTTGTGCCCGTAGACACTCATTTTGACATGCGTTCCGCGTCGCCTATGTGTTCCCAAGCGGCACGCGCGCGTTTCTTCCGTCAGTGTCGCTCAGTCCCTCAGAGGAGGATGTACCGTGGTGTGTTCCGGAAGAGACTCTCTCTTGACACCTCGTTCTCCACTCGGTCCAATAAACCATCCCGGTGCAACGTAAGTCCCGTAGATCACCTGACAGCCCACCGCCACGATCACGCATCCCTTTCCGCAGTCGTGCGTCGTTAAGGCGGAATCCTTCATCGATCAGCGTGTCCCTCGATCGTCGAGGATCCCCTTTCCGAACCAGTAAAACGAACGCGACGTGTCCCAGTCGTACGGTTGTGCGGTGCTCGTGGAACCAGTGTCGATCAACAAGTAGCTCGTCGGGTATATAGGCCGGTAGCACCGGTTGCTAAATACTGCACGGCTCAGCACCATCGAGCCGGGCCTACGATAGTGCAACGGGCGCTAATTACTTGGTTCAGTGATTGATGGGGATTGGCTAAGTGACAGTCGCAGAGGGCCATTGTGTAATCGCTCGTTGCGGGCTGTTGGGTCTGTGAAGTGACTGAAAGTAAGGGATTCTCGTTTTTGACTGGGTTCCAAGTGAGGAGCAAAGTGGACCAGTGTTTAGAGGACTTGATGGGCCTATCTGAGCAGTGTGTCATCTCCAAAAAATAGGGGATTCTAGATTTTGACTGGGTTCCAAGTCAGTACCAAAGTGGATCAATGTCTAGAGGACTTGCTGGGTCCTTCTGAGCAGCGTGCCATATCCAAAAAATAGGGGATTCTGGATTTTGACTGGGTTTCAAGTCAGTACCGAAGTGGACTAGTGTTTAGAGGACTTGCTGGGCCTAGCTGAGCAGTGTGCCATATCAAAAAATAGGGGATTCTAGATTTTGACTGGGTTCCAAGTCACTACCAAAGTGGACTAGTGTCTAGAGGACTTGCTGGGTCTTTCTGAACAGTGTGCCATCACCAAAAAATAGGGGATTTTAGATTTTGACTGGGTTCCAAGTCAGTACCAAAGTGAACTAGAGGACTTGCTAGGCCTAACTAAGCAACATGTCACCTTAAAAAACAGAGGATTCTACATTTTGATTGAGTTCCAAATGAGTACAAGTGAGGACAAGTGTTCAGAGGACTTGCTAGGTCTAGCTAAGCAGTTCGTCACCTCAAAAAATAAAGGATTCTAGATTTTGACTGAGTTCCAAGTGATTACCAAAGTGGACTAGAGTTTAGAGGACTTGTTAGGCCTAGTTGATCAACGTAGTCTACAGATATTGGCTGAACAATGGTGTCAAGGTGGATCAGTGTTTAGTGGACTCGTTGGGTTCAACTGCTCAGCGTACGCCCGCTAAAAAATAGAGGACTCTTGTCGACTGGGTTCCAAGTGGGCGACAAAGTGGATTAGTGTACTTTTTTGGTCCAGCTGATCAACGTTCCACCTTCAAAAATAGATGATCCTAGTTGTCGATTAGACACCAAGTGGGCGTTAAGGTGGCCTAGCGTTTGGAGACCTTGCTAGGTCCAGTTAATCAACGTTCCACCTCGAAAAATAGAGGATCCTAGTTATCGACTGGTCTGCAAGCGGGTCACGAAGCGGACTAGTGTTGAAATGGCTCGTAGGTCGAACCAATCATCGTTCTACCTCAAAAATTAGAGGATGCTGATTGTTGACACAGAATGGGCTTCACTGGCTGCTCAGCGTTCCACTGCGAAAACTAGTCGTAACCCCGCTCCATTGACCAGACCAGCAAAGGCAGCCAGTATTTAGAGGATCGTCCCCCATCGATTGATCAACCGCACCCCATCGCGGGGGCATCCCCTAAGTAAGCCGGAGGTTTGATGAATCGGTTGTCGGGATTTTCTATGGTCCCAAGCGGGGGTCTAGGCGTTGCAGCTGTCGAATGAGCTGATCGTCTTCGAAGAGGGAGCCGAAGCCGTGGGTTTCCCGAAGCCTGGTTGGCGCAGCTAGCTCTGATGAAGACAAAGGACCCTCATAGGAGCATGTAGCCTTAATGGCGGGAAAAGCTGAACGGACGGAAGCAATGCAACCTGGGGAATCTCGCGACAGTGACTCAGGCGGGGCGGTCGGCACGTGGACGCCATAGCTCCCGGACACAGGGGAGCTTTGTTGCTGGGGGCCCAGCGTTTATACCCTGGCTCTGACGTCGATGCACATTTGTACGCGAATATTCGCCTGGGCATGGGACTTCTTCGTCGGTAGCGCCGCGTTCCCGATGCAGCACGTGAGTCTCACGGTTCCTTTGATGTCCGCGCAACCCTTTGCTTAATTTCCGACCGGAGACATTCGTTTTCTAGCACCGAGATCCCCTTTGAGGGGATCCTCCACGGTCCTCTTTAACGTGTCAGCAGCAGCTGACGATTATAATTCATAAAAGTCGCACTTGTCTCCGTCGCAAATGCAGAAAAATCAGCTGGATTAAGTTTCTATTATGCTTTCCCGGTAATTTTTCCTTGGAAAAGCAACCTTAAGCGGCTTGTTAGGCGACTTCCTTTACGGTACGCACAGACTCCGGTTCTGTCGTTCTTATTTCACTGACGAACAGCTTCCGGTGCTTCCGTTCGTCTCCAAGGATCTCCACCCCCGCTTCCGGGACTCTCGCGATGGGGGTGGTGATTACACGTTTCTTGTAAAAGTCTCTGCTGTATCTCGCTAACGTCTCCTCGTCGAACCATTCGTTGAAGAATTTTTTCAGCCCCTTTTTTCATGGAATGCTTCTTTGATCCTCTCGCAGTTCGGTATAACTTTGAAGTCGCATAGCGATCCATCATGGTCTCTGATCGTGCTCCATTTTTATCCGCAATCTAACAAAAGTATCCTGTTCTATTATGGATCAGAACGTTCGACTTTTAGTTCAGTCGTTCGAGGAAATTTTATAAAAAAGAATTGTTGTAAATATTATAGTTGAACATATATTTACAATAAATTCTGTACTATTTAATTGAACTTCGATTTACAATAAATTCTGTGCTATTCAGTTGAAATTTTATTTATAATAAATTTCATACTGTTTAGCTGAAATTTATTTGGATTCAATTTTGTGCGGTTTAATGTAAATTTTATTTACAATAAATCCTGTGGCGTTTCATTGAACTCCGATTTACAATAAATTCTGTGCTGTTCGGTTTAAATTTTATTTACAATAAATTTTGTACTGTTTAGTGAAAATTTTATTTAGAATAAATTTTGTGCCGTTTCGTTGAGATTTTATTCGCAATAAATGTTACGGTGTTTAATTAAAGTCGTATCTACAATAAATTCTAATTAAAATCGAACTTTCGCGTGAAGATTATTTCGGGTTGCATTCTAGACTTAAAATGACAGGCTTTCTTGCGAGATGCCATGGCTCGAACGAAGCTGCCCGGACCGCTCACCCCCGCTGCAGATTGTTTCGCGCGTCAGAGTGGAAGTCTCGCGATAGAAGCATCGCGAGATGCATAAGCGGGGAAGGCCGGTTGGCCGACTGGCGTTCGAATAAAAGAAAAAAAATACTAAATCGATCGATCGCAGAGTGTGCGGGGGCGGGCCGCGAGCCTCGAGGAAAAAGGGGAGCGTACGTTCCGGCTCCGGTTTCCTTCGACTGTCTCCGCTTTTTCACGATGCTCTAGACCATCAATAGCGTCGTCTACAATTTCTCTAAACATTTTTTCTTCGGTCACTTCTTGGGGACACCGCGATTTTTCTATACTTCCCAAGGGGCTGCAGCTTGACCATGTAACAATAATTCTTTCAATTTGTAACGAAAAGATGAACGATTCTTTTCTTAAACTAGAATGTTATTTGCAGCTATTGAGATATCTTCGATATCTCGATTAGTTTTTTAATCACGAATTATCAAAGTCAATGTGTCGATTTCAAGAGATTTAATTGTTTGGTA